GAGCGGCAGTGGCGGTGGGCTGCTCTCGACGCGCCGCCTTGTGCCGACGCTCCTCCTGCTCGCGCATGCCGAGGTGGCCTCCGACCAGGCGTGGCGCCACGACTACCCCAAGCTGTCGTCGTCCCCCAACGTCGGTGAACCTTGCAGAGCCCCTCCCGTCACTCGCGTCATCTCGCCAAGAGCGGTCTTGACATCTCACCCGCCGCCGCTGCGTCGCCCCTTCTCCGATGTCTGTCGTCGTTGCCGCCGTGTCCCCCTCCCCCGGTGCTACCACCATCGCCCGCGTCGCCGTGTTTCCCTGCTGCAGCCGCCGCAGGCCACCGTCGCGGCCCGCCACCCTCCTCTCTCCCGCCTCGCCTACCGGTCTCTGCACCCGCTGCTTTGCCTCACCCAGAAAGAAAGAAGAGGAGAAAGAGAGAGGGTGATGATGTGGATCACCCTGACATGTGGGTTCCACGCTGACTCAGCCGTCACGTAGGCCAAAATCGAGGTCAAAACCACTGAAGGATCTATTCTGAACGGTTTAGATTAGTTAAGTGACGCCGAATATTTGGTTTTGCTGTTTCTGTGTACTTTTTCCATTGCCTGTGCGCGGCAGAAGTGGACCAGCCGAAATTAGATCATTACGATTTGTAGTGATCCAATACGGGCTATCAATTTGGACTGTAAATTCCGGGTGACATGGGCTCTTCTTTGAGGCCTAAATTCGGGGGTTGCTATCTCGCGCGTGCAAGCCGGTGCCCCCCTCGACGTGTTTTTTTCACTATTTTAATCTTCGCCGCACATGTTTTTAAATTTGAGTTAAAAGTTTTAAAATCTTGATTTGAAAATTTTGAAAATTTTCAGTTGAAAGTTTTAAAATTTGACATGAAGAGTTGAAAGTTACTAAAATTTGACTTAAGAAATTAAATTACTTTGAAAGTTTTTAAATTTTAACTTGAAATTTCGAATTTCGAGTTGAAACTCTTCAAATTTTTACTTGAAAGTTTCAATTTTTTATATGGCTTTTAATTTTTCAATAGAAAGTTTTAATTTTTCTTTTTGAGTTTCAATTTAACGGTAGATTTTTTTTGAACCAGTTAGAAAAAGAAAAACTTACCTTAATTAGAGTCATTATCCAAACTAACATAGTTAGTTACCTAGAAGTGCACGAGTTTCCTGGGAGAAAAAAAAGTCGTATCACTTCTTCCTGCTTTTAAGCTTAATAGGATTAATAGGGGAGCTAACGAAGTTGCTCATTGCCTTAGCCAGTTGGCTAGGCGCCCGAAGCAATCTTCGGTGTGGCGTATGTGTGCGCCTGAGTGTGTTAAGGAGAGTTTAGCCAAAGACTGTATCCCTCCTAATCTTTAATTAATAAAGCTCCCCGTTTTTCCTCGCAAAAAAAAAAAGTCGTATCACATATGTTTAGAAAACCGAGTACCTGTGACATACTGACATGGTTTGCCGGCGCGGAACTGGAATCTCGCCCAAATTCGGTGTATGCCGGTTTAGATTTTAACTTTTTCCTTCAAACTTCTAAATTTTTTGTCACATCGAACTTTCCTACACACACAAATTTTTAACTTTTCCGTTACATGGTTTCAATTTCTTCAAATTTCTAATTTTGACGTGGATTTAAACACAGCCTCCATCTCGATAAGGGCCACGAGGACCGGCGGAAAATTGATCTTTAGCGATCCAATCTAAGCTATCGTTTGGACCATAACTCAACTTATTGCAAAATTGGCCTTTTGTGCGGCCCAAATGTGCAAGCTGCTATATCTCGGCAAAATATGCAGTGAAAACCTGAAAAGTACTGTTGAATTAAAAACATACGCCTAAGATTTATCAATTTTACCAAAAGTAAAAATAAAATATTTTAATCACGGTAAAACTTTTACCCATGGTCGAATCTCTGAGTAAAAGTTTTACTCTGAATAACGTGGACAAATTTCAGGCGTTTATTTTTTTAATCCAATTGTAGTTTTTATGTTTTCACTTACATATATGGTGCGCTACATATTTTCCCCACTATCTCTAGTAGGAGAGAGGGGAGGCTAGAAGAAAAAGAAAGAGCCCCTCACATGTGGATACAATGGAGTTCATGTGGATCCCACGCTGACTCAGTTGGATTGACCGTAGTTAACATCAGTCAAAACCAGACACAAAATTATCCTAGGACCTCAGGTACCTAGGTATTGTAAGTTGAGGGACACGTTATATCGGATATTGGGGTTGACCGATAAGATTTAAACTCAACGTCAAGATGAAGGATTTAAAGTGAACTTATTTCTTCATGAGTTGCAAAAGCTAAATTGGGCCGTTCGTCCCCTGCATGGCCCATGAAAGTCGTCCGGCCACGTACGCCCTCGCGCTTGGCGGCTTTGCAGGACAGCAGGAGTGCAGCCTAGACGCGTATTTTTCCGGTAATAAGCGAAAACGGTTTGTTAGAGAATAAAAATAAATTTATAGATAAAACTTTTATATATGTGTTCTCAGTGACTCAAAGCCAATGCTGAAAAAAAAACTACGTTAAAAATATCTTAAAATCAATGTCAAAATTAAGTTTGAAAATTCAAATTTTGGCTTTTTATTTGGCTGAATAGTCCATCCGATAGGTTCTAATCAGCATCATCATTAGGATCAGTTACAATCTTCTTTATTCTCATTTTGCTCTTCAAGTTGATTGGGATACGTTTAATTTGAGAGTTTCAATTCCCGTTAACATTAAGCTGAATGAGGGCTTATTCAACCAAAAACTGTTTGTTGCTTCTCTCGGCACCTATCAAAATTGAGAGTGATGCACGAGAGGGAGAGATCCTTCATCCTTGCAACGCCTGGCATTCCACGATTGGAACCATTCGCGTAGCTGTCATAGAAAGATTCTACTGAATAGTTTGCATTTTACTGAAAATGAGATTACTTTGGGCTACTCCGAATTGCTAAATGAGATTTTGGGTTTTAGTGAGCTTATTTAACCCTTTTTTTTTCTTCTCTATGGTATACATCAAAGACGAATCTAGAACGAAAATTACTAGAGGTCCTACACATATCACAACATGTACAACACTTTAGTTCTAAGCTAGTACTACCTCCGTTTCACAATGTAAGTTATTTTAGCATTTCTCATATTCATATTGATGTTAATAAATCTAGATATGTGGAAAATGCTAGAATGACTTACATTGTGAAACGGGGGAAGTAATATGTTAATATATGCTAAAACAACTAACTATTAAAATTCTACCCGTGGTCCCGTTATCTGGGGTATAGCAAACGTAGTAACGCCTCTGGTAGTACCTATCAAAATTCAAAACTGACTGTGATGCATGGGAAAGGGAGAGATCCTTCATCCTTGGAACGCCTGGAATTTCACAATTGAAGCAGTCACATCCATATCACAGAAAATTTATGATTATTACGTGAATTTTACTGTGACGAGAATACTGTTGGATCATTTCTGTATTGTTTAATTAAAACAAGACTTTGGTAAAGTCACTTAAATTAAGCATCCCCTAAGTCGTGAATTCTTAGGGGGTTTCAACTTAACACACGCCTCTAATTTTGGCATGTGTAGATTTTTTTTGACATGACATAAAATATCGGTGCCAACCCATCAGTGATGGATCCATGCAGAATCTTTGGAGTCGGCCGACTCCACAGCTTTTTAAAAAACATCCGACCTTGATTTTTATGTACAAATAAAAAAAATTAGATAAATGATCTCACTTAAATACAAACTAATAGTTATCGACTCCACAAGGATTGGCTCCGCCCTTTAGTCCATTCTCTGATAATACCATAATAGATTAATAGTGATAGCCAAGTGGATGGACATATATATAAAAAAATTCCAGAATTCAGGAAATCCTCCTGGGAGAAGGGAGAAAATCTTACAGAACTCATGCTGAGGGGGCTCTCATACCTCCTAGCTAAATTTTTTGAACTTCTTTTTCATAAAAATAGATAGGCAACAAATGCCTTATTAGCGGGACAGAATGACAGATAACAACAATAATTAGCAGGCCCATCAAGCACGTGGGGTAGAAAAATGTGCCGGAGCAATTGTCGAATTTAGACTTTGATGATTACCGTCACCAGATCCGCGCCCAGCCAAAACACCATTATTACGTCAAGAAGCTGTCTCTTTGGTAGTACAACAAATTGGAACAAACATGAATTGTTTCATACTTTCATTCATCCTCATTATGTTGTTCTTTCCAGTATAGGAATTAGAACCTGTGTTGGAATCTGGATCTAAGCCGAATTCCTCGTTAGCCTGATTACTCGGACCGGACCTGATTACTAAGAGAGCCGAAGCATGATTGTCCCTTCATGTTCAAGTTTTGGCCTTCGTGCAGTAGCTCCCTGTCAAATTCCAATATGGCAATACGAGATGCCCCGGGCTCACGCTAGCTAGCAGCACACTATACTGTCACTTGTCAGATCCAGTAGACCACATGGATTGTGCGGACCTGCGGTGCTTGGAGCGTTCACTGTGCAGTGCGTGGTGGAGAATTCGGGGAAAAAAAGGTGAAAACCGGTTGCGATTTTGAGAGTTCATGGAAACAAAGGTGAAAATACGGACGCGGACGCTCTGAAAAAGGCAGGGCATCCACAGTTGGAATCCTCCACGTCCGCGGACATGACACGCGAGCGCGACACCTCGCAGAGCAAGTTCAATAGTATAGCCAACTATTCGTGTCCGCGAGCACGACACCTCGCAGCCATAAGAGCAAGTTCAATAGTATAGCCACTATTAGCTCCAATTCATCTATAGCCAATTTAATAGCTCATTCATACAATAGTTACATACTGCACTATTAATACCTAGTCCCACCTGTCATAGACACACTGTGTCTTAAAATCCGTGCTACAGCTGGGTACAAATCTCCTTAAAATTTATAGCCCACTGCTCTTCTCTCTCATGATTTATCTTTTTAAAATATGTTTACAGCAAGCCTGCTATTGTACCTGCAGGCCAATTTGTTTTGCCGTCTCCGCGAAACATTTTAGATCACACCGGTAGCTCCCTCCCTCCAAACCCCTCCCTCAGCTTCCCTTCCCATCTGCCCGTCTTCTTCTTCTTCCTCCTCCTCCTGCCCTACCCGCGGCCGCGCGATATAAATACATCACCCTCCCCATCCGCCTCTCCGCCAGCAAACCAGCACAGCCGTACGCCGCCGGCAACTGCGTTCGCGCGAGCGCCTGTCCGCGTTGTACATATTTGTGAGTAATCCGTCACCTCTGTACGCAGCACGCACATGCCGCCGCCAAAGCGCAGATGATTCCAGTCTTTCCCTACTTTTGAATCTGTGCCTGATGAATCTGCGTCGTCGTGCTGTAGCACTAGCGAGTGTTTCCCTTGCGACGTAGAGTTTGCTGATGTTCATCTAATTAGCCCGGAGGACTCGGGAATCAGAATTCACCGTGGTGTCAGGGAGAAAAAGTGGATCGAACTTCGGATCACCTGGTACCATTTGTTTACGGTATGTTCCTTGTTTCTTTCTGCGTGCCTTAGTTCGAGGAGTAAAAGTCGCGGTTTGTTATATAGATTATTACCGGGAAGTGTTCGCTGAAATTTGGATTTGCAATTATCTTCATTCTTCGGTTCGTGCGGTGTGATCTAAAATGTTTTGCGGTTCTGCTTCTCTGTGTGGCTCCTGTTACATTGTTCTCCCTTCGGCGGTTTGGCCGTCCCATACATGATACAACATGGGAATTGTGGGTAATGTTACCGTGCGCAAATCTTCAAAGAAACTAATGCCAAACGAAGGCGAGGTCTGAGGGGTTCCAACTTCCAGTTTATAGCTGCATGTTGTCCTAAAGGTGCTTATTTTCACCAAGTGCTTATTTTTTGTTAGTAATCAAGCACGATAATGACTTGTTTATTTTCTGGAAATAAGAAGGGGCGAAGTTAATTTGTTGGTCAGGATTTGGTGGATATCTGTGGATCCTTCTTTATTTCAACATTGACCATTTCCCATCACGCTAGCTGACTTTATTTTTTTTAAGAAGGGTAAATAAAAAAAATCACGCTAGCTGACTAGTTGTACTTTTCTCGTCCAAACAAACTTGTAGAAGGAAGAGAATATTTTTTACCTTTTCACCTCAAATTAAACAGCCATACAACTTGCAAGATATATACTCCCTCAGGTCATAAATATGTGATGTTTAGGATAATATTTGGTCTATTACTTACTTCCGAAATGCATATAGTTTAATAACAAGAAAAATTATATGCATAGAGTGGCCTAGAAAAGTTACAATAGCATGAACTTATTGGATTTTATAGACTTACTCTAATATAAAATTGATGGTCAAAATTTTAATGGTCTGATCAAATCTTGTTTTAAACGTAAAATATTTTTTATTGGAGGAAGTAGTTTTTAGGAATCTGTAAGATAATGAACAAGGGAAAGAACTTTCAAGACAATTAGTTCTTTTTCTGGCAAAGTGAAAGAGAAGTTGTTGAAGTACTCTAGCCATATGATTGATTACGTGTCCTAAGTAACAAGGAGCTCCTCTAACAAAAGGGGACCATATGCTGCCACGTCACTGTCAGTTTTGTGTTATGTACCTGGCTTATCAACTTAGAGCCAATCGCTAACACTTTATGAACAATCATTCAGTACTGATGTTGATCTGCATATTTTAACTACTGTGATTTTTTTTAATCTCCGATTGATCTGTCTCTACTTGTGACTGTAAAGTTCTGTCCAGCTGTCTTTTGTTAATAATAACTTGCTTTTTGCTATGCTCTCTTACGACGAATATTCAGCACGTTTTATGTTTGCTCGACTTCTATAGTTAGACACTTTTTAAATATCACGCGTTCAGACTAAATAGTGATACCCTTCTCTGTTTTTCTTCTTGAGAGGATATTCAAAAACTTCCAGTGGCTGCCTTAATCATTTCTCTACAGTGTACTTTATCAGTAAAATCCTTACGGCACATGTACTGTCTTCATTTCATCTTCTGTTCTCATTGATATTAACTGTTAGAGGTTACTCGTTGAGGATCAATCAACTCTGTCCATCTGCCGTACGTGATGAACGACGGAAAAAAAAACAAAGGCAAGGATGGGTTGGATACGAAACATTGGATTGCTGTTTTGTTTGATCACAAATGCTAAACAGTGTCCGCGTGCTGAAAATTGACTAAAGTTAACTTGCTTCGCTACCTTTCCTTTAGAATAGTTATCCATTTGGTAGTAGCAAATATCTGAATAAGTTAATTACTCAAAAAGTAAACATAAAGATAGCTGTAGACATGTTTTTTTTGCTGAAATAATAGCTTGGTGCAAATGTGTGCTTTTGTTGATCTTTCTACATCTAATCATTTATATATGTTCGGTTTTAGATACAGGTATTGAACGACAAGATGGTTAATTTTGGAAAGAAGTTGATGGCTGATCAAGTAGAAGAATGGAAAGGGTATGCTTTTGGTACTTATTTTTTATGAACAAAATAATTTTCTTCATTGATTACACACTACTATGTAAAAAAAATTATATGCCTTCCTATTATGATACCTAAAAATGAAACAGAAGTTGAGTACCCATCAAACTATTACGTCAATCTATAATGATTTTTTTAATGAACTATGATGAAATTTGAAGGTTATGATGTGGACTCCATAAGCAATTTTCACAAGCCAGTTCCTCCATATTAACAAATTTCCTGCAGAAATCTTATGATTTCCTCATCTTGATATTACTAGATACTATATTAACTACAAATTGATGAAGAAAATGTTGAAGCAATACGTTCAGCAGACCCAACTTGGTGGAAAAGATCGAGAGCAAGTACTTAAAGAGTTCTCAAGAATTCTTGATGAACAGGTATATATGCAAACATTTCTTTTTTTAATTAATTATAAAGATATATTATTGGATCAACTTGTTTATTTCATCTATTGTTGGTTTAATAAAGAACTCGTGTTTCTTAAAATGGTATCATTGTTTTGATTAGCTAAAATTCATACTTGCTGTTTCACTTCAGATTGAAAGGATTGTACTTTTTCTGCTACAACAACAAGGCCACCTTGCTAATAGGATTGAGGAATTGGGAGAACAGCGTGCTGCTCTTCTAGAACAGCATGATATATCCCAAGTTTTTCAACTACGAGAGGCTTATAGAGAAGTTGGGCGAGATCTTATAAAGCTTCTCCGTTTTGTTGATATGAATGCTACTGGTATAAGGAAGATTCTAAAGAAATTCGATAAGCGCTTTGGCTATAGGTTTACAGACTATTATGTCACCACTCGTGCAAACCATCCTTATTCTCAGCTTCAACAAGTCTTTAAGCAAGTGGTAATTTTTCTGGCATTTTACATGATTAGGGACACTTGATTTTCTTCTGTCTCTCACAGCTAACCAGCATTCCTTTTGTCCACTTCTACCAATGCAGGGGATTGTAGCTGTTGTAGGAGCTTTATCGCGCAACCTTGCATATCTGCAAGATCATGAAGGAAGTGTTTTGTCCATCTATGATCATCCATCAGTTACCTTAAAGGTTTTATGTCTTGACTGTTACATTATCTGAATTTGGAACTAGTTTTCTACATATCTTTTGCATGATGTAAGAGTGTAATGTGACTATTTTCTGATATTCAGGACCCTATCATAGACCAAGTAAATCATGCGGTACAAAAACTTACACATGCGACGAGTTTTCTGCAATTCTTAGGTCAACATGCACTTATCATCCAAGAGGACGTGCAAAGTGGGTCGGAGGATCTTGTCGATGATCAAAGTTACCATTTCATGTCTTTGATACTCAACCTAGTGAACACCTTTCTTTACATGGTGAACACATATATCATTGTGCCAACTGCTGATGACTACGCTGTAAGCCTTGGAGCTGCAGCGACAGTTTGTGGCGTAATCATCGGATCAATGGCAGTTGCTCAAGTGTTCTCCTCAGTTTATTTCAGTGCATGGTCAAATAGGTCATACTTCAGACCTCTTGTATTCAGTAGCATCATGTTATTCGCTGGGAATCTGCTATATGCATTAGCATATGACCTGAATTCTCTGACAGTTCTCCTGATTGGCCGGCTACTATGCGGGTACGTAGAATTTATTTTTCTATTTGTTTTAAACCCTATTACTCAGTACCTCTTGCTAATGAATTGTAATCATGTTGAGGTAGGACTACAATTTAGTATGGTAAATATTGCTGGCTCTTAATATTTACCACCAACCCTGTTTGTCTTCTTCTCGATTATTCATCAGTATTTCTGGATTGAAATTTACTGATCATAATACAATACTCATATGCAGGTTAGGCTCTGCAAGAGCTGTGAACCGTCGATATATCAGCGATTGTGTGCCTCTCAAAATCAGGCTACAGGCCTCTGCAGGATTCGTCAGTGCTAGTGCTCTTGGCATGGCATGTGGCCCTGCTCTTGCTGGTTTACTCCAGACAAGATTTAAGATATACTCACTCACTTTTGATCAGAGCACGTTGCCTGGGTGGGTCATGTGCATTGCTTGGCTTGTTTACTTGCTGTGGCTGTGGATATCATTCAAAGAGCCGGGACACTTTGCTAAGAGTTCAGACACGGCACAGCCTGCTGAATCTGGTAAGTTCTCAACCCACAGGAAGAGTGACTAGCAAATATATTCCTTCCGAAAACTAAACACAACATGATTCTGTTGATTTGGAAGTGCAAATGTTGCCTGTAAAGAATTTTTTTTTATCAGCATCAGGATTTTTGTTTTCTAATATAGAGTTATTTTTTGATTAAAAATAGGCCATCAAGTCAATGCTAATCTGGAGGAAGGTCTAGCGCAACCATTGCTTACAGGCTCAGAAGAGGGACAAGACCAAAATGCTGAGGATAATGACGATAACGAAGAGGAGTCTAAAAATTCTCACGGGCCAGCAACTTCAATCAGTTCAGCATACAAATTGTTGACACCATCTGTGAAGGTTTCCTCCTTTCCCCTCGTCAACTTCTTTTCTTTTATTCCAGATCAACGTTGCAGCATACACGAAAAACAAGTTCACAAACTAATCAAGTTGGGTTCTTATAACTATAAATGAACTGCAGAACATAAAATGAAGAGAAGTATCTCGGTGTTAGCATCTTACTGTCCACAACAATAATAGCTATGCTGCGGTTGTATTTACACTTCCAAAAATACAATTTCAAGAAAAAAAAAGTTCTTCATTAGCATTACTTCGATTGCTTTTTTTCAAGCTATTGGTTAGCTTTATAATATATTTAATTAAGCCCTATAAGCAATAAATCGTCTGTCATTTCATCTCTTTCAAACTAGGCCTAATACTGACACATGAGTGCTCCGCACTGTCAAGATTACTCTCAACTCTCATGTTAAGTTTATTTTTTATCCGTTGGATGCATCATCTTTCTATGTTTTGTTTTGCAATACATTACATGGACGCTCATTTCTCAGGTCCAGCTATTGATATACTTTATGCTCAAGTACGCTATGGAAATCTTGCTCTCTGAATCAAGTGTCATCACCACATACTATTTTAACTGGTCTACAAGCGCTGTGGCTATCTTTTTAGCGATTCTTGGGTGTACTGTTCTCCCTGTCAACGCCATTGTTGGAAGCTACATTACAAATTTATTCGAGGACAGGTAATTTTTATGCTCGTTAAGTGCACTTTGTATCCCTCGCCCAAAAAAAGGATTTTGAAGGTCTAAATAAAGTCCATTCAAAATGATTTCATGAAAGCATGTAATTAAGGGTATTGTTAACGGCTGCTTTGTACATGGTATTTTGCAGGCAAATTTTGGTGGCATCTGAAATCATGGTCCTCATTGGTATAATCATGAGCTTCCGTTACACCCCTCACTACTCCGTTCCGCAGTACGTCTTGTCCGCTCTCATCACATTTGTGTTTGCTGAGGTCCTCGAAGGTATGTAAACGCAACCACCTCAAAATGATCGTTCATCACACAGCCCTTCAGCAGCATGACATCTGACGGCACAAAGCGAGATCTGAATCAAGCAAACGCATGCTGTTGCTTTAACCACTGTTTTCCATTTCTGACGAACATTGCAGGAGTGAACCTGTCGTTGCTTTCACGAGTAATGTCGTCGAGGCTCGCGCGAGGAACCTACAACGGCGGCCTCCTGTCGACAGAGGCCGGGACGCTGGCCCGTGTAGTTGCAGACGCGACGATTACCGCGGCGGGTTATCTAGGCCCGGACCTCCTGCTCAACATCACTCTGCTGCCACCTCTTGTCATCTGCATAGCCTCCCTCGTTGCAACATTCTGCACATACAACACCCTGTACTAAGGAAGTTGCCTCTCTCTGCACACTGTAGAGCCGGTTAAACTTTATTCATGCTCACATTGGGTTGTATTTTACATGTATCTGCATGCGGTAGCATTCTTTGTTTGTACAAGTCCTTAAACAGTTCAATAAAATGTTCTTCTGTAAATCCTACAGATGTTTTCTCGATGCATGTTTACAGTCCTTATGCATTTTACATATGTATTCATTTTTCCTATATCTGTAAAAAAAATTTCTTGATCTGTACCAATATTATGAGTTATGAGGTTGAAAAGACACATGCACCATGGACAACATTTTGCGTGAAGGATTGCCGTTCTTTTCTATTGAATTTGATGCATCGATTGTGACCGCCCAATAACTCTAGTGCCAACTGCGGGGGCATGACCGTGTCCGGGTTCAACAAAGGGCATGTGTAGTTGGTGAAATAAAATTTTTTGGGTGTCACATCGGACGTTTAATCGGATGTCGAAAGGTGTTTTCGGACACAAATAAAAAAAATAATTTCATTACTCGCCTGGAAACCGCGAGACGAATCTTTTAAGTCTAATTAATCCATCATTAGTACATGTAGGTTACCGTAGCACTTATGGCTAATCATAGCTTAATTAGACTCAAAAGATTTGTCTCGCGATTTACATGCAAACTGTACAATTAGTTTTTCTTTTTATTTATATTTAATACTTCATATATGTGGCCATAGATTTGATGTGATATTTTTTGGAAACTAAACATGGCCAAACTCTGCAGAACCGAGCTGTTTCAAGGATTGGGACAATCGTTTTTATATGGGCCGTGCCCCTGAATCTGCACCTGCAGACTCGCGCCTGACTAGGTCGCAATGCAACCAGAAAAGGGACGCTAGATCTGAAGCAAAGCGTCGGCCACGTTCGTTCGACGCAACGGAGGTGATCTCGGTGGTGGTTGTGGCGGTTAACTCCTTCTTACCCGTTCTTTCTCACGCTTGTGGCGTGCATTGTCAATCAGACGATCACCGTGGCTGCCCTGTGCTAGCGTGCTGTACTGTGGCATGTAAGATGTCACGCGTGAGCCTACCTGGTTGCGAGGCGATTTGCTCGAGCATGTCTTCAGTGCAGACGATGCTGAAACCGCTGTGTCGCCGAAGCTGAAAGAGAGTGACGCTTATCGGTCAAACGTCCTCCGGCAGACGTTGACCACATTTCTGGCTGAAAATCCAGTGTTCTTTTTGCTTCGCCTAATTTCGGCAATTAATATATGTGTTCTATGATTAAACAAAGTGTGCAAGGCGTGTCTAGTCAGTAGTCACTGGTGTGCAGTAAGCACGATCAACTTACTAACTGATGCTGCGAAAGAGAGCGTTTCAAACGTGAACTAGCATCAGCTGCAGCTGTCAAGCCCAACCCATGCAACAACCACTGCCCTCTCTCGTACTCTGCAGCAGCGTGACTATGCGCGCTATATAAAGGATCACATTATCTCATACTTGGTCACACAGAAAATTAAACCGTACTCTGATACTTCCCGTGTTACGCCTGTCACAGCTTACTTACATTGGTCGCCAATGGCGTCCGACATGGACACCACACGAGCGCTGGCCATCTTAGCGGCCACAAGCTTTGTTGCAATGCTAGCATGTGTACAGGCGGCAGGAGACGAGAGCTACACGTTCATGAAGGACGCGGTGCAGTCCCCGCAGGTGTCGTACTACGACTACATCATCGTGGGCGGCGGCACGGCCGGGTGCCCGCTCGCGGCGACGCTGTCGCAGCGCTTCCGCGTGCTCCTGCTTGAGCGCGGCGGCTCGCCGTACGACGACGAGCGGATCGGGAACATGACACGCTTCGCGGACACGCTGTCCGACACGTCCCCCTCGTCGCCCGCGCAGCGGTTCGTGTCCGAGGACGGCGTGATCAACTCGCGCCCGCGGGTGCTGGGCGGCGGCAGCTGCATCAACGCCGGGTTCTACACGCGCGCCAGCGACGAGTACGTGCGTGGACTCGGGTGGGACCTCGAGGCGACCACGGCGGCGTACCGGTGGGTGGAGGACGTGGTGGCGTTCCAGCCGGAGCTGGGTCCCTGGCAGTCGGCGCTGGAGAGAGGGTTGCTGGAGGCCGGGATCGCGCCGCAGAACGGCTTCACGTTCGACCACCTCGGCGGGACGAAGGTCGGCGGCTCGATCTTCGACGCCGAGGGGCGGCGCCACACGGCCGCCGACCTGCTCCGGTACGCCCGCACCGACGGCATCGACGTGCTGCTCCGAGCCAGAGTGGCCAAGATCCTGTTCAACGTCAGAGGTAAGGATAAGACGCGATTTTTTACTGCTCGGCAACACGTACGCGGGGCACCAAGAAACGCGACAAGAATTTACCCGAACTCTGTCTCTTTCCTCCAGCTGGAAGACGGCCAGTGGCGCACGGGGTGGTGTTCCACGATTCCGAGGGGCAGATGCACAGGGCTTACCTCAGCAACGGCCGTGGCAACGAGATCATCCTCTCGGCGGGCGCCATGGGCAGCCCGCAGTTGCTGATGCTCAGCGGCGTCGGCCCCGCCGACCACCTCCGCTCGTTCGGCATCACGCTCGTCCTCAACCAGCCGGCCGTCGGCCAGGGCATGTCCGACAACCCCATGAACGCCATCTACGTGCCGTCGCCTTCCCCGGTCGAGGTGTCGCTCATCCAGGTGGTCGGCATCACTGAGGTCGGGAGCTACATCGAGGGCGCCAGCGGCGCCAACTGGGGCGTCCGGCGCTCCGGCTCCGGCGGCGACAGACCGCACCGCAACTTCGGCATGTTCTCTCCACAGGTACTGTCCATACCACGCGGCCATGCATGCCCCTGAACTGAAACTCTCACGCCATTGCAAGTGATGATGTGAAGAGTAAGCACTCTTGTATTCTCGCAGACGGGGCAGCTGGCCACGGTGCCACCGAAGCAGCGGACGCCGGAGGCCATCGCGCGCGCGGCGGAGGCGATGAGCCAGCTCGACGACACGGCGTTCCGCGGCGGCTTCATCCTGGAGAAGATCCTCGGCCCGCTGTCCACGGGCCACCTCGAGCTGCGCAACCGCAACCCCGACGACAACCCGTCGGTGACGTTCAACTACTTCGCGCACCCGGAGGACCTCCGGCGCTGCGTGGCCGGCGTGTCGGTGATCGAGCGCGTCATCAGGTCCGAGGCCTTCGCCAACTTCACGTACCCGTACTTCTCCGTCGAGACGCTGCTCAATATGACGGCGGGGTTCCCCGTCAACCTCCGGCCACGGCACGACAACGACTCCACGTCGCTGGAGCAATTCTGCAAGGACACCGTCATGACCATCTGGCACTACCACGGCGGCTGCCAGGTGAACAGGGTCGTCGACGCCGAGTACCGCGTGATCGGCGTCGACGCGCTGCGCGTCATCGACGGCTCCACGTTCAACGCCTCGCCGGGAACCAATCCGCAGGCCACTGTCATGATGCTCGGCAGGTATGCTTCCTCCCTTTTGCTTCTTTGGCATCTTTACACGCACAGTATCAATGTATCGTCAGTATATTTAATTAGTCGTCCTAACCGTATTTATTCTTTCTCCAAGATTGCAGAGATCTTTAGGTCGAATCCTATCTGTCCTATTAAAACGATTGATCATGTCTGTTAATTGACAGGTACATGGGAGTCAAAATCCAAAACGAGAGGTTGGGAAATGAAGGATTAGGAAGGAGAAATCTGTAATTGAAGGCTTAAGTATTTGTAATGCACTATGTAATGGTTGAGTCATTGAATTTCCTGATTCTGATGCTAGTCATGAACTAGAATTTCGCTGGGATAACATGCACATATTATTGGAAGTGTGTGCTCTTAACTTCTTATGTACTACTCAAATTCAAATGAAATTATGTTCACTCAATAAGAAACCTTTGTTCAGTTGAAGCACGCGTGTCTACACGTTACTGCTTAGTCAAATATTCAAGTTTGCCATCTCTTCCAAGGTTGAAGAGAAGAAAGATCACAAGATTTAACTGCTGTGCAAAGTGCCAACAGCCAAAGAACTAAAGAAGGGTCTGGAATAGGAAAGAGAATCCTATAGTGCGGCGAGAGCTTTAGAGAGACATGAACCATAGAGGGAAAAAAGAGAAAGTGAGATGTTGGATGCCAATAGGATATCCATGGTTTAAAACCCTTTGAAAATCTAGCGAGCATATGCGCTCTACCTGCTTTGTTCCCTATAAATCTGGTGCTGCAGCAGAGAGGAAAGAGCAACAACCAACAAGGTCAAGAAGGGAAGGAAGAAGGGATCAAAGGGTGAAACATCTCAAATAAGCAGTCCAGTTTCAGGGCTCCTCTCTCTTGGCAGGGAGCATGTGAAGTCTTTTGTAGCTCACTCATTTTCAGCCCTCTGCCAAAGGAGAGTTGCCCTAAAACTGGACTCAGCTTAAGGCTAAGGAGTGTGAAGTGAGGATCATTTTCGGCTATGAGCTACTTGTTCATTCAGTCTCTTGCTGATTTGTTGAGGGAAGTGTCAAGTGACAACCTCTGTGCTTATGTATTTCGATGCTAGGTTCTTTCTAGTGATCTGGTCGGATTTCAGCTGTTCATCTGTGTTGATCCTTTGCTGAAATGTTCTGGTTTGTCGAGTGTTTTATATTCATGAACCAGGGCATCACCAGTTCGATCAGTGTGGAAAATATTCAGAGTTCAGATATACTTGAGCCTATGACATTTTAACTGATCTGAAATTTTGCAATGTAGCAGTAACTTGAATGTTAAGCAGTGAACTAGTATCTACCATGAGTTATGCCTTTGGAAAAAAAAATCATTTTTTGCAGGCTCAGACTATTTCAAGTTTCAGTTGGATTAGATACTGAAGAAACAACGAGAAGTTGCAGAACTAGTTTGTTTTCACGATACCATGCAAAATTAGATTTTATTTATTTACTTTTTAAAAGATTTAAAAAACATATTCTCATTTCAAAGTTTTATAGAAATATACTCCTCCCGTCCGACCATAGGGTGGGACAGATAGATCACCCTACGGTAGGACAATCTATGTGACATGGCACCCTGTGGGTTGCGCCGTGGTAATTTTGCAGGCTTCCTGAGGATAAATCGCCCTAGGTATGGCGATTTATCGTTGAGAAGGGGCCACCTACAAAATTGTTATGACGTGTCCCATGCATTATCAAACTTTGTGTTGTGGAAGAGTCTGTCTACAAAATTGATATTGCATGCCTTTTATATGAGGTGCCACGTCAAATAAACTGCCTGCCTACAAGTGATTTATATGTCTCATCCTATAGTAGGGCAGGAGGAGTATATTTTTTTGTAAAACTTTAAAATGGTAATTATTTTTTAAAAATATTTTAAAGAATAAAAGTTTTGCAAAAATACAGCAAAAAAGCATCGTGCCATCAGGCCTTCTCAGCCCCTAAGGCCCAAACGATGAGCCAGGCCGTTACTAGATTCCAAGGCCCATCTCCACCGATGCTTCTCGAGGCCGCTTGATCGAGAGAAACACCGAACTCTAAACTTGCGGCACTGAAGCGAAGATTGGAACAACAAAGCCAGCCAGTCGTCGAGTTCAAGTTCAGAACGAAAAGCTCGTGCTCTCGCACAATCCAAGTGGAAATTCCCTGCACACGGAGGCGGGGTAGGAGAATCGACGAGGCATAAAACAACGCGGGGGGCACAAATGGTGGGCTTCCTCCGGGCCTTGACCGCCGCCTCCGCTGTGCCCGCAGCAGCCGCCGTCGCAGCCGTCGCACTCTCCACCAACTCCTCCTCTTCCTCCAGACTCCGGCTCCCCTCGCCCGCCTCGCTCCCCTCCCTCTCCTCCGCGTACGCCGCTGCCCCGGCCTCCGGCTCCGCCCGCAAGCCGAACGCCGTGCCTCCGATGGCCGCCGCCGCCGCCACGGCCGATCTCTCTGCCGCCGCCGATAAGGTACGGACGCGACGCGCTCCACGGTTGGTGCCCGTGTGTGCTTGTTTAGGGCTGAGCTTTCTAGTCTGACGTCTGGTGGTTTGGTGCGCTTTTTGCAGGGCGCCGCGCTTCCGGAGCTCATGGTAAGCGGCGCTGACTTAGATTATAGTAGCATTTTGTGTTGGTGACTAGGTGGTTTGCTGCGATGCTGCTAGGGTGGGAGGATGAGAACCTTAGTTTAGCTACTTAGGGATTTCATGCTGGATTGAAGTAGTCCGCGGTAAGTGGGGAATTTCGCTAAATGAATCTCAGTATAGGTTCGAAATAGCTGGGGAATGAATTGGTCAGAGTACTTATGGTGATATATGGTTGCTGTGAGATTGATTGGTTGAACAGTTTGTATTTCTGATATCAAGCCATTGAGGCGTATATTGCCTCTTCAGTTGCTGTCAAGTGCTAAGCTACTGCCAACTGAGAATTAAAGTTATCGATCAGAGTGACATAGTGCTAGATTGCTAGTATGTTAGTATATGAGTTGCAAGAGGGATTTTCATATGTCCTTGCATTCTGACTGCAGAACTGCAAGCGATGGTTTCCTTTTGCATTAAGAGACTACAAAAAGCTGGAATAAACTGCATATATGAATGGATTAAGATGAGAGTTCAATTGAACTATTCGTCTACTATCATGCTGACCTTCTGTTCTTCAGACTGTTGTTTAAGATTGTCAGTATGAAGAGCTGGAGGCAACTATGAGGATAGTATAATGGATATCCTTTTGCGCGTTCGCGAAAAAAAGTATAATGGATATCTATTTTCTTATTTTACATACCTTGTAAAGAAGGTCTAAAAGAAAATTTGATCCAGTTATACAATTGCTGCCAATGATTCAGAAAGCCCATGGTTGGTTCTACATAGCTTAAGATAATGTCCTATGCTATTTTCTAATATTAATGTCCTAGCACATATGATTTAAGGGTATATAAGTCTTTCACAAGCTAGGTTTTAATATGTTGGTGGATTACGATCATAACTAAGATTAGGTAATTCAAAAGCTACAGTATGTAAGATTGAAAAAGCACCACAAAGTGGGTTTGTTTCATTTTGAAAAGATATGTGTTAATTCCAGGTGGATTGGTATGCTCCTAACGGGAGGATGGTCATCTCAGCAAGTCATCCTTTTATAATGTGTTTTCCTGTTGTCTTAGTATTTTTGAGCTGTTGTCTACTGTTCATCTAATTTCCAATCCTGCTAATAAAGACTATGAAATCAGAAATACTATGCATTTTGTATCCCTTTTTTACACGGTGCACTGTTTTGACTTGCATATTTTGTGATATTGTTTGATTTATGAAAGCAAACAAATACTAAATAATCTAGTGCCTTCTATGTTCTGAAGACGGAATTCATGGTGGATATGAAATGTGATGGTTGTGTGACAGCAGTGAAAAACAAGTTCCAAACTCTTGAAGGTTTGTCACCATGTAATTTTAGTATTCTTTTGAAATACAGTTTTGTTTATCGTTTGCCTCTGGTTTATGAAGACTGCCTATTACTACAGGAATTAAAAACATTGAGGTGGACCTTAATAATCAAGTTGTTAGGGTTCTTGGATCTCTCCCAGTGAACACAATGCTGGATACTCTGCACCAAACAGGCCGAGATGCTCGTCTAATTGGGCAAGGGAACCCAAATGGTGTGTGTTAATTTCTATATTTTATATGACAATATTTTATATTAGCCTTAATATCAGCTGGTATCATTGCTTTTTAATCATGTGGTACTTGATTCTGATGTTCAGTTATAGGAAATTCAGAGATCAGTCGTGTGTAAATTAATGAATTGTCATACTGGTTCTAGTCAGCAAATGTAGGCATTATATATCTGTCATCTCTTTTGTACTTATATAATGCATCTGAAATCTAAATAAGATGCTTGATTTACTTCAACTGTGATGCTGACTTATATACATCTTTAAAATGCATTTAATCTTTACCAGGTCCTCCTGAACTCATTTCTAGTTATTGAAAAAAAAATAATAATCAGTATTTCCACTATAGAAAGATACTGCACAAAACAAACTTTCTGATTGCTGGCATGTTTATTGTATTTTCCTGAGGCATGATTGCTGGTCAGTTTTTTGTTTATGTGACGCACACCTATTCTATTATGAGAATTAATTCCATGCACTAACTTCTGCAGATTTTTTAGTATCTGCTGCTGTAGCTGAGTTCAAAGGGCCTGTTATATTTGGTGTTGTTCGTCTGGCTCAAGTTAATATGGAATTGGCTATAGTTGAAGCCACTTTTAGTGGTCTATCACCTGGTAAACACGGATGGTCAATAAATGAATTTGGGGATTTGACAAGAGGTGCAGAAAGTACTGGCAAAGTCTATAACCCATCGGATTATAGATCCAATAAGGTAAGGTTTAAGGATCCACATCTGTCTTTTACCTTCCAAAAGAGTAAGTAGTAACTAGCCCTTTAGGATCAATCATTGGTTATCCTGATGTTGCTGCAATACGAAAGGCATGCATTTTCTAAGCAGCTAGTCACCCCGGACTTCAACGTCGTGTGTCCTATCACAGTTGACTATGAGCATCCATGCGATTCTTGGTTGTCATCGATCGTAACTTCATATAATGTGACATATTTTTTGTTTCCTTTAGAACTTGTTCAGATAGGTGAGGTTTAAACCCAAACCCCTTGCATGTGTAGGGATGTTAGTTTAACACTTTAATTTCATTACGGAAATTTTGAAGGGATTAGCATAATTCCCTTGCATATCTATGGTCCCATAGTCCTGGTTATCTACTAGACAAAGTGACAAGCATTCTATCAGAGGCAGAAATGCCAGATTATCCAAATTAATATGCCCATTGCATGTAGGAGTATCATTGGAACTTGGAAGACATGTCTTCTCCAAGCGGATAGTCATGTCTATAGAATTTTTTTCCTTTTCTGCAGCCACATTTGCACGTGTTGTATCCTAATCAGTTGATATGTGGTCACAGCTTGTATAGACTACAGTAATATATCTAGAGGTTAGATTTACTACTACATATTTCTCTTCCATTTACAGTATCCGGTGATCTACCTACTGTCTACTGCTATTCACTTTGTCTTAAACACATTAATACAATGACCAACTTCACCAAACTAAGGTGGCTAGTGCAAATATCAGTAGCACAGCTGTCCTCTGCCTTCTGTTGCATAAGCTGCAGCACATGCCTTGTCAGAACGCAGCAGAATGGAATCGAACAAAACCTTTGTTCACCTCACTGGTGGGTCAGGTAGGGCGGGCCATTCCACTACTTGCATTCACTTCATTAGATATTACTCCTAGACTTGAAAAACTGTGGTTGTGTTTAGTTCCACGCTAAAATTGGAAGTTTGAAAAAATTGAAACGATGTGATGAAAAAGTTGGAAATTTGTGTGTGTAGAAAAGTTTGATGTGACGGAAAAGTTGGAATCTAAACATGGCCTATATGACGATTGGCAGCAAATTAAAGTCACAGCATTTGTTTTTTTTAGTTGAAGTGTTATTGAAGTATCGTGCTATATTTATTGAAGTGCTCCATCCTTTAGTAACAAAGTGATAACTGGAAGAACATACTTCAAATGCTGTTTTTCCCTAATTAAGCACTTGCTTTGCCTCCAATGGAAGCTGGAAAATATCATATCTTCTTTTAAAAGTTTTCAAGGGTAGTGCTATTTTTTAGTAATTTCGGTATGTGCCTGATTTTTCTGAAACAGCCTCTTGGTGACCTGGGAACACTAGAAGCTGGAGAGAAGGGTGAAGCCCAATTTTCAGCTTCAAAAGAGAAACTGAAAGTTGTTGACTTGATTGGCCGCTCTATTGCGTTGTATGCCACTGAGGACAGATCAGATCCTGGCATTGCAGCTGCCGTGATTGCAAGAAGCGCTGGGGTTGGCGAGAACTACAAGAAGCTGTGCACCTGTGATGGTGTCACCATTTGGGAGTCAAGCTAATTTGTGTTACTAGTGAGGTTTCCATTCTACTGTTTGCTCCAATGTGTTGTACACGAAGTAATGTAGAAACAATCAACCAACTACTGAACAATTGGAATAAGCATGGATACAGTGAGGAATAAAGCTTGTTTTGGAGTGCAGCTTTTCTTCACTAAGTGAACTGTGCTGTGCTGCTGATACGCGACCTATATCAGACTTGCTATATCTGAAGCCAGGACACAGATGTTTCTGCTTCATGATTTGTCTAATGCAACAACACCAAAGGGGCTCACTGTGGTGGCAGCCATGTTAGGACGACAGGGCTCCTGACAATGTGGACGCCGTCGCTCCAGGACAGGGCTCCGAACTCCGGTGCCTTCTGGGCGGCCTTGGTTGTCACTGTAACCTTATAGCTAAGCTTCTGGTTTGTGCTTACGAAGTGCAGGGTGTTCGGTTCGACGATGACATCGGCGCCCTTGAACTTGGTGACCTTGACATGGTACGTCGAAGATGGAGGACCAACGTTCGTGACAGTGCGGCGCACCGTCAGCGCCTTGGATGGCTGGTCGGCGAAGACGACTGAGATGGCCGGATAGTTGAGGTCGCTGGCGGAACTGAAGGTGTGCCTGCATGTCATGTTGGAGTTCTTGGTGAAGGTCCTGAGCTGCATCGGCGTCATGTGCTGCGTGCAGAGGAACTCCAGGTAGTCGGCCTGGCCAATGTCGTAGACCAGGCCAGGGGTGAGAGCTCGCACCGGGTGTATGTGCCCCGCTCCGTGCTCGAACGGCGTCGACGCCTTGCCGGTCGCCGCGTCCTTCATCGGCCGGTACGTGTTGTCGTGCACGTACGCGGTGGTCATCAGCGCGGACTTGATCTGTGCTGGGCTCCAGTCCGGGTGGCTCGCCTTGATCAGCGCGGCCACGCCGGCGACGTGCGGGCACGACATGGACGTCCCCGACAGGATGTTGAACCCGACGCGACGGCTGTCGCTGGACAAGCTCGACGGGCTGGCGTCGCCGCTCCATGCGGCCAAGATGTTCACGCCGGGCGCGACGACGTCCGGCTTGAGGATCTCCAGAGTCAGGATGTTTGGTCCCCGGGACGAGAACGCGGCGACCACCGGCGACGGCCGGATGCCGAGTTTGGTTCCGCCGAAGCTGAGCGTCGCGGTCGGTTTTGGGGCGCTCTTGCTGTAGCTCTTGGCGGCAATGCCTTCCGCCTCGCCGACTGCCACGGCCGGCAGCAGGTGGCTGTCGGCGACCAGCTCCTCGCCGTTTGCCGCGGTGTTGGCAAGTATCATGCCGATGCCGCCGGCTTCCTTGACAACCTGACCCTTCTGCACCCGAGGACTGATGCCGCGGTCACAGATCACTATCTTCCCGGAGACGTCGTGCGGCTGCAGCGTCCCCTCGAGGCACAGAGAACGGGGGTCCGGCATGCTGGAATTGCCGCCCAAGTAGACCACCGGATACTGCTCCTGCGGCGACAGATTTCGCAGGCCTTTGTAAAGCGAGACGCCGGTGATGTTCGCGCCGTTGCCGAGCGTCACCGTGGCCGGGAAGTCACGGTCCATGGTGCTCGCGCCCACCGTGGTTATCCACGGCGACAGGTTGGTGAGGCTTATCGGGTCAGGCCCGGCGTTGCCGGCCGAGCAGGCGACGAACACGCCCATCTGCATGGCCCCGAACGACGCTATGGACAAGCTGTCGAGGTAGTACCGGGAGGCGCCACCCCCGAGGGAGATGGAGAGCACGTCGACGCCGTCCGACACGGCGCGATCGACGGCCGCCAGGATGTCGGAGCTGAAGCACCCTCCCGCCCAGCACACCTTGTAGGCCGCGACGCGGGCGCGGGGCGCCATGCCACGGGCGACGCCGCCGGCGTAGCCGTACAGGTTGGCGTCCTGCACGGGCGAGCCCGCGGCGGTGGCGGCGGTGTGCGTGCCGTGCCCGTCCTGGTCGCGCGGGGACTTGAGCTCGGTCGTCTCGTTGATGGGCCCCGACGAGGCCTCGTAGCCGTTGTAGAAGATGCGCGCCCCGACGATCTTGCGGTTGCAGTTCGCCGTGGTGAAGCCGCGGCCGGTCTGGCAGAGGCCTTTCCACTTGGCCGGCACGGGGCCGAGGCCCTTGTCGCTGAAGCTGGGGCTCTCCGGCCATATGCCGGTGTCGAGCACGCCGACGACGACGTCGTGGTCGGCGAGGCTGTCGGACCATATCCTGTTGCTGACCTCCGGGCCAATGCCGAGGAAGTCCGGGCTCCTGGTGGTGTGCAGCTGCAACACCGTCTCCGGGATCACGGCCAGCACGCCGTCCGCCTCGGCCATCAGCTCGGCTTCCTCCTCGTCGAGCTGAGCCGCGAAGCCATGGAATGCCGTCTCGTAGTTGTAGATAATCCTCGTGGAAGCATCATCCTCTTCATCTTCCAGCTGCGAAGAGCTCACCGACTTCACCGTGGAAGCGTACCACTCATGGTAAAAATCGAACGAGCTCGGCATCTCAGACGCCGCCATCTGCACGATGTAAGTCTTGGGAGTTGGCGCGCAAGCAGAGAGGCTTGCTTGGAGAAGAACAGTCACCAGGCACAGCGCCGGAACCTTCCATCTCGCCTTGCAAAAATCCATGGAGAAGAGAAAGGGAGAATAATTTGATAGATAGATGCAAAGGAGCTTTTGGGAGCAAAGCTTGGATTTGGGGGCAGATCAAGCTCTGCTGCTTATGTACACTCCACTCTCCAGCTTAACATGCTTCCAGTGAGCTGCGTGGAGTGTGGACTGTGGTCTCTGCTCGTGGAGTGGAAACTGGAAAGCGAGAAGTGTAATAAAATGAGGTGGTTGCTTCTGTCCCGCATTGAAGTGAGAATTCATTTTGGCGACGCGGTGGGTTTTGCTTCGAGACCTATGGTTAGGTTTGCTTGTCACATTCCTCCATTTCCTGGAGATATTTCAGGAGGGACACTTGACCCTTGTGTGCTCTACTCCACTACAAATTCGACTCCATCTGCAAGGTTGAAAAACATTAAAGCCATGGTGATGCTGCTGCTACTTCCTACCAGCTGCCAAACGGCGCACATCCGCACATAGAGGGTTAACGCATTGATTCATTTACTGTGGACGGTAGCTCCGGTTCATGGAAGCATTTCATGTGCTTGACCTTTATTGTGCCTACTATCAATGACAGTGGCTCTACAGTGGTACTGAAAGAAAACTGCTCTCGACAGCGATGCCATGTTGCCATCTACTCCCACAAAAGATGTTAATGCAGCTGGTACGTTTTTAGATGGAATGTGAATGCATGAACGGATCGTACCACGATTACGGTAATCCGGGACTGGTGAAAGCCTGAAGATGCTGCTTGCTTCCAGCAAAATGTCTTTCTCCATGAGCTTCCAGCAAAATGTCTTTCTCCATGAGCCTGAAGAAAGACAGAGCATGCATGGCCTCGTTTTATCAGGAGGCGCCGTCAAATTAAGTTGTACTAATCGAAAGGAGAATCGGATAGACTTCTGATTGGATAGCACTTGAACTGTGTTGGACTGCCAGTCTGCCACATGAACACGACTAGCGTGTCCATGTCTATGATTGATGGGTTTATCTGACATCAAGTTAATCCTCTGTGCCTTCACGTTTTTTAGCGTGCTCTCTTGTTCTGTGACACGGCCTGACGGCCGAGCCTCCCCCCTTGGTAAGATCACCTTCCTACCGATCGACACTCTCAGAGCTCAGCTCTCCATGATTAATGCGTGAGATGGAGCAGTCTGATGCAGCGCAGCCAATCCTCTGAAATTGCAACGCGCACAAATGAGACATCTAATAATGACGTCCTAAGATGGGCCATCGATCTTTCCACGATGCACATGTCTGTGCCAGGACGACAGATCTCAGCTGCTCGACTTCAGATTTTTCGGTCGCATTACAAAACACTTAGTACTACCTCTCGAACCAAATTAATTATAGTTACCCGGCTAAGCCTGAAACATGCACTATGTATGAAAAGCAGCAGCATCTAGTTCTCTTGGTGTCCAGACAAGGGTAAACGCACGTAGCCGAACGCCTGGATTGTATCTGTTGGAGGCTTGGAGCAAAGCCGTAGTATCACATAGAATTCCCATGTCCATAGCCAACAATTGTCAGGCCCCTTTTGTTGCCATCCAGGCGAGCAAATCACGGGCGCAGCACAACGCGTCGCCGTCCCGCGCACGACATCACCCAGACGTCCGGATAAGAAAAGCATCCGAAGACGAGGCAGGTAGCCTCCCGACGACGTGGTAGTGATCGGCTCGGAACTCGTGTACTTGCGGGTTTACCGTGGCGTGAGCGTCAGTGCGAGGAGACCGGGGGGAGAAGAGGACAGCAAGTAAACCGTGGGTCGCCGCTCGCGGCAAAGCAGCAGATAGGCTCATCTACCGTCGGTTTTGGGGGCGGCCACGTATGGTGCTGAACTGCTGATGGCCTCTTCTCCGTGCTCCAGCTCAGGGGCACGTGAGGGTGTTCTCTTTAGCGTGTTCTAGTAGTACCACGTCTACGGTCCACCGTACGAGCGATTGATCAGGGTTTCATGAACACCTAGAAATGTGGTAATCAACGGGGACGTCGAGTGAAGGAATTGACGGTATTCAATCCTTGGACCGTTCGACGGTGGCCTTGTCATCGTCTAGAGCAGTCTGATGCAGGCTGCAGACGATGCAGACTAGAGAGAGCAGAAGTTACTGCTACAGTGACCGTTATAAAAGGACATGCTACAACGATACGGGAGTACGGCAACACACTTTTACTTGCTACGCTTCAGCTGGATTTTTCACATTTTGATCCTTTTAAAAAACTTATTTCGCAAATAGATCCCTGAAAAAACTTATCCCAGAAATGATCCTTTTTGGGGCGCCAGAGTGGCTGGCCANTCATCCAACGGGACGGCGCCACGTCTCTGGCGCGCTCCTGCCACCGTGGCGCACGCGAACCGACGTGGCAGGAGGAGGGCGCCACGATGCCGCCCCAGGGAGGAGGGCGCCAGCATGGCTGGCGCCGCCGCCTCCATTCCTGTTTCTCTGTATGGCGGTGTCATTTTTATTTTATTTTTTCGGATGTTTTTTCACACTCAGGATCACGATACAACCAACCACAAAAATTTAAACTCGAACTACCACTTAGCTAAGTCTGAAAATATCTAGCATACCACTTAGTCTACTTTGCACCTTCACTAAAATTAGACCATAACTCCTTTAGTAAAACCCTTTGATCAGCATGTTAAACATAATGCACTCTACCACTATATGAAATTACTTAATCTAATTCAAAATATAACCACATGAAATGACATATAAGTTAAACAGTACATAGAGATGCAATTTTTTTATTTTTATTTTATTTTTTTGATATTTTTTTCACACTTAGGAGAACATAGGAACCAGCCGTATAAAAAATAAACTCAAACGGACAAAATATGTGACATGTAGAATTTTCCAAAACTCTACCGAAACGGACAAAATATGCCATCTATTAAAATAGGCGTAACTTTCTCATACGGACTCGGAATCAGGCAAATAATATATGCACGGACATCTACAGAAAAAGTTACATCCAATTCTCCCCAGCTTTGCCGGATTCGGCGATATTAAAACCTCCAAATTCTGCTTGCAAGATTGTGTTTTCGAGGAGAGAAGTTTTTCGGTGGAGCTTTGGAAAATTCCACATGCCACATATTTCGTCCGTTTGAGTTTATTTTTTACGTGGTTGGTTCCTGTGAGTTTCTAAGTGTGAAAAAAATATCAAAAAAAATAAAATAAAAATAAAAAAGTTGCACATCTCTCTCCTCTGCACTAGTTCAGAGAGAGGAGAGGAGAGGAAAATTCTACATGTCACATATTACGTCCAATTTGAGTTCAATTTTTCTATGGTTGGTTCTTGTGTGTCCCTAAGCGTGAAAATATCTCACCCA